ATATTTGTTATTCTACACACCCCTGTGCACGCAAACACAATCCCTAAACTTTTCCCAGCTTTGCAGTGACTTATATTTCATATTCATGAGGATAACTTAGCTAAGCTTGATTGAAAGGTGCATCAGAGGGAGTCCTATCCCTGCTCAGCCAAAGACCTCCCTCCATTCCACCCAGTTCCTTTAAACCCAGAAAGTCCATTCACAGCGAACAGAGTGCAGCTAAAAAAATCAATAAGTGGAATACTACAATATTGTACCGACAAATTGATTTCATCCCAAGGCAATTTTTACCCAAGTGGAAATACATGTGGGGTTCAACAACCGAGGGGGCCTTAAGCTGTGCCTTCTCTCGATTACCCTCTTATAGTCTTAATAAGTTTTATCCTCTTTTATGTGTTGCTTATAGATGATATCGATCATTTTACACTTCTCCTGGGAGCTATAGCTATGGGAGCAATGGACTAATGTGACACCAGCATCAAAGGCCTTGTAATAAATGAGACGTCTGGGCTTCAACTCACTAAGGCATTCACATGTTGGAAGGAGTTTGGTCGACTGCAGAGCACTAAGACTTATTTTTTTCTTCAGTCTAATGTTGTGTGATAACAACTGCACACAACTCCAGCACACACATGATTTGCCTTAATCTCTAAGACCTCCTCTCCCAGTTAACTCCATGTATGTAAAAAGCAGCAACAAGGACATGCTAAAACAAGTTTTCTTGTTGCTTTTTTAATCTATGAAGACTTATAATATTTTTCCAAGATATGAAAAGGTGGAACAAACATTTCTTGTATGACAAGGGATTCTTCAGGTTCAGTAATTTATAAAATGTCTTGAAGGTATTTTAAGGTAAGTTGTTTTTGAAGGTAAGTGATAGGTAAGTGTTTTAGCTTTTGAGCTCTGAGGAGATCCTTTCGAAGTGTACATCTGAATGGAGAAAATTGTTTTTGCTACTCTTTCAGGAATATGTGGAACAGTCCAAGCTACAGCTAGTTTGTTTTGATGTAATTTATTATCTTGTTTTTGATCTGCAATAGAACAGACAGAACAGGGATATGCTCTTTGGCACAACCCAGTTCAGATGTTTGTTTCACCTACTTTCTTTGAAAGTATGAAATTATTAAATTTTGGAAGAATGGTCACATTAAAACCACTCAAATTTACATGCATTTCACCGCATCAATGAGCCTCACTCCATAGCTCTTACATGTTATATTCTTACACCCTGTCACTTCCACAAATCTCAGTTTTTCACCATTGTCTAAGGAGGGACATGGGCTTTTCCTCCAGCAAAAGCCTGATAAGAGTACCCCTCCCAAACCCCAACTTGTTTACAGCATCTAACTTCGTTACATAAATGTGGAGTCTGTTGTACCTCACAGTTTGTGAGCTTACCCTTATTAACTGTGGAAGGTTGTTGTAGCCCAATTCTCTTGTGCTTTTGCCCGTAAGCATAAAAAATAAGATGAAGGTAACATAAAATAACTTTTGATGGATTTGGTTTAATCGCTAATACATACTAAATTTGGTTAACAACCCATAATCCTATACTTTGTAACAAAGTTTAAGGCTACGGTATAAATCTTAGATTTGACTGTTGACTTGAATTGCCGATTAACTTGCAAAAACTACAATTTCAGGCTTTCTCTGTACTCAGGCTCCAAAGACTTATTGGCTTCAATTCTCTGTCTAGTCTAATCAGGGTTGATTGTTACTGGCAAGTGTAGATCATTTGAGTAAATAATTTCTTGTCCTCTCTGTTACTGCAGTGCATACAAATGGCTTGATGCCATATCAACATGACACAAAGCATCCAAGTATTTCAAGTATTTCTAAACAGCAGATGTCAGTAAAAAAAAAAAATCCTTTTTTTTTTTTTTTTTACTGTGACAGCATTGTTAAATATGTCAAAGTAACATGCAGACTCCAGCTCTAAAATAAATTTGCATTTAATTTTAAAGGTGAGATTAAATTGTTAACCAGGTCTTTTTTAGATTGTGGCAAAATTATGGTTAATAACCCCCTAGCTCTTTAAAAATGAGCATATGGATATCTCTCAGTTAGTTCTATGATAAACATTCTTAATTATTCTGAGTTGAATACTTAAAGCTTTTAGATGCAGATTTAGGACATACAGTTGTTTTCTATTAATCTGGTAAACACTTCAAGTAAGGAGCACAAAATATTGTAAATTCTAATGCACTACCTATTAGGGAAGTGGAGAGGTTACAAGTGGAGGTTTTCAGTATGCCAACAACAGTTCTTCAAAACAGACACACTTCCTGCTTGATTCATTCAGAAGAAATATTGCTGTATTAAATTCTGTTCAGCAATAATAATTTTAATTCACAGGCCACCACACCTCTGTGTTTTAGTCCAAAGAACTGATACACAACTAGGACTGGGAAAAATGACTCAAAACATCTGTAGACAATACACAGAGCGCACACCAAGTCTTTTTTTTTTTTTTACTTGCTTGGATCTAAAAATTGGAATAAATGGAAAATATTTTAATTTTAACTTTGTGATCACTTAAAAACCCAGGAAATATACCACTAAATGTGACGTGATTATGATGTAGTTAGAATAGATAAAAGTTAAAATTCTCAATTAATTTAATGAGGGTTTGACACACTCAATGAAATGGCTGCCTTTGAGGAGGAGGAAAATCTTGGCCGTAAACAATTATGTTATTTTTTCTGTATACCATCTCTTCAGTAAGAGCCAGACTGATGAAGTAGAGCAGTTGCAGGCAGACCAGTGCTTTTGTACATAACTTCCCCCGCTCTTGATGGCTTAAGGCCATGGATGGCAGATCAAACAGCCTTTTCTCACAGAGGCCAACCCCGACTCCCAGAACACTGGCTTCAACTTGGCACCCAAGTGAAAAAAGCTGGTTTGGCTGCGGTTTATGACAGACAACTGCATTTCCCTAAAAATCCTGGAAAATGTGAGAAAATATACTGCATTGTGATGTAACATAAAAGAAGATACTGTTACGTTTTTCAACTCTGGGGAATCACCGAGAAGAAACAAAAAATGGACAGAATGAAAAAGGATATAATAATTTAAAAATAAGGTTCAAAAGAGGCTCAGAATGGGGTTCGGTGCCAAGTCTAGAAACACTAAAATAAACATCCGTTATGATAAAATGTTACTGTAATCTAACTGTGATTGCTGTTGCCTTTCTCATGAAAAGTGAGATTTTTCTCAGTATTCGTTTCCATGTGAATTGCCATGGAAGTTCAGAAGAATTGTTGTTCGGATCAATTTGCAAGTTTCTCTGGAATCAGATGGAAATGACCAGGAATTAACATGACATTTGTGTTTCAAGTGTAAATGAACCACTCCTACCTCCATGTAAGTAACTTTGTTATGCCCAAATAATAATTTTGTTTTGAGTTACTTGTCAATAGTGATTCTCCCTCAGCTCTGAAAAAACCCATGTGTAGATGGGTTATTTGTAGGAAAGAAAAAATTAATAAGAAAAAATATGTTTTGTTTTTTTTAACAGACGTATTTTAATACTTCATTCTTACAAACTGTTATTTTTAAATGATTGCTTAAAAGACCCAGAATTAAGATACTGGAGTAGCAAAAAACAGTCCATATGACTATAAAGGACTTAAGAAACTGCAGATAAGTTACTAGTATAGTAACAGTAGAGTAGAAGTGGATGGAATTCTCTTAAATTTAAATTGGATTCCAGAACAAAAGAATTTAAATTATGTGAAAGCTTCTTATTGTTCATAAGCTGTTAATTTGTTTCCCTTTTATAAGCTTTAGTAAGCATTAAATCGAATAATTACACTAAATAATTTCTATTGGAACATTATTTCCTGAAGCCATTTAACACAGTTTTCTATGGAAAGATCTTGAGGTTGAATTTAGCTTCAGAATGAACATATCATACTTTGATCCTGCATTAGGACTTGGACTCTCTGCGGTACACCACTCTTAACCCTGAAGTGAAAGAGCGCTTCATGTTGTTTATGAGACAAGAACTGTATTTAATATTGACCTCAAGGTCAGTACTCCCGAAGAAAACCAAGTTGCACAAAGATCTGCTGTTCACAAAACAACAGGCACCCACACAATAGTGTAATTTCTCAGGCAGTCACTTATAATGTCCTCTCAACTTCAAGTTAAACACCTTAGGGTTAATTGACAAGTGGATTGTTAATCATAAAAAAATACATCTGTGTGAGCACTTGGTCTAAATGAATTAACAAATAAAGTCTTACTGGTTGGGGCCATGAAGAAACAGGAGATGCAAATATGCAGGTGCACAATCTGGACAATTACACTGGGAAGATTGATACCAGTATGTTGATGGTTGGGTATGTTTCAGTGCACAACAATGCATTGATTAAAGATTTTATTTTAAAAAAATCAACAATAAAAAAAGTCTACATTGAAAGTATTCATGTAATAACAGTTTTGTAAGATTCATATGCTGAGGAAAACCCAGATGCAGTATGAATTTACCTTTTCCTTTAAAAAGCATTGCTGTCCTGAATACAGCAGGGAATCCTCTGCAATGAGGCTAAGATTTCATCATGATTCAGTTGTGCTGACTTTGGCTGCAGTTTGTGTTAAAACCTTCAATGTTCAACTGAAATTTTGGCCTGCAGCGCTTTTGTTTCGGAAGCATCACTACATCAGCTCTTTCAAGACTGCCACTGATGAAGTACACCACAAAGATTTAAAGCAAACAAGTAGAGAACTGATATTATTGCGTACATGGTGTGACCGCCAACTAAGTGCCCACTAATTTGTCAAAAATGTAGTTGTATGAGAATCATCATGTCATGCCACATGAACTTTAAATACACATCATTGTATTTGCAGGCATTACAGCAAAGATCAAACAATTCTATGCATGATCTGACTGCTTCACTTACCCTTTTTACAACAACAGACCAAAACTATGGAATCCGTCATATATTCAAATATATTAAAATAAAATATCCAGCCATATCAATTCAGCCACTTGCCTGTGAGGTTTTTAAGACCCAGCTGTCGAAGGCCAAAGTTTCCATCCCGTCTATAATTCAGAAAGATTGCGAGCGAGTAGCGGTCTTCATAAAGCTTGGTTCCACGAATGATCCTCAAGTTCTCCAAAGGCAGATAGTCGAACTGGTTCAGAGCCACCAACACGTAGCCAGTCACTTCTCGTATGGACTGTAAACAGAGTTATAGAAGATTAATGTTAATGTTTTTTTAGCATTCTGTGGCAAAAAAAAAGTGGCACTGAGACAGCCAATTTTTGTTTATCATAAAAATACACTTTAATAATAATAAAAAAAACTAAGAAACTGGTGATTTTTTTGTGCAACATTGATAGTGAATATTTCTGAGGATTACCACAATGAAAGTTGTGCTGAAATGTTTTATTCCTATGCCAAAACAAAGTACTGTACAACAACAAGGTTTGGTAATTATTATTAATTTTAAATAAATGAATGCCCAAAACCAGTAAAAATGGAAAAGAAAGGTATAAACTATGAAACAGTAACGAAAAGGAAAGGCCCACATTAGATCACTGGTAGACCAAGTCTTCAAGGTCACTTTCCACATTTTGAATCATGCCAGGGAGTTGAGTTACAGCATTGAAAGGCAGGAGATTTTGCTTCAGGGTTTGTGGCCTCGCTGGAAAACCTGGCTCAGGGTTCAGTGCTCATAACCGGGTCTCGGCCTGGGGTGACTGAGTCACAAGGACAACCATTGCTTCACACTTTAAATGTCATTTAGGGAGGGTATAACGACTGTTGAGACATTGGCAAGGAGCCACTCATTCAGAGCTGCTGTAGCGTGAATCAAAGTGACAGCATGTGTCCTTTTTCTCCCTTCCACCCATCTGTGGTGGCTGTCATTAGTAGACAAGCAGTCAAAAAAGTTTTTCCATGCTTGCCCAACTTATTTTGATAATCAACAAGTCTGTATGTGAAGTGCTGCTGCAACTTGTGCATTGAGCTGAAATAAGTGAGAAGGAAATACCTAATAGTTTAGTGACAGTGATTGACAGCTGACAAGTTGTGTGATCCTCAGTCAGTGGCAAACAAACGACAATCTGAACTCAGCTGATGGGCATATGCAAAATATGTTTTCAAGTTCAGATTGCATTTGTTTTTTATGTAAGGGAATTTCTATGCTTTTGTGCAAGCATTTTATGTTCAATACTTGTCTGTCCATGCAGCTATTGGTCTCAAGTACAAGAACAAATTAGATGACATATTATTTAGGATGTGATGAAATAAGAATTTTGTTTATATGCATTCATCACAAATCTACACTCCAGGGTCTATGCTATATGAAGTTTTTAATGATTTTACATAGGAAGTTAAACCTTGCAGTCAGTCCACTGTTTTACACTGACATAAATTATACACAGTGATCTTTCATCTGATACAGATATTTTGTATAAATACATGCTTATGTCAGATTTGCAAGGAATGATTAACTGGGTGAGCAGATCTTATCAATTTACCAGTGGACAGTCTGATGGCTTCAGATTGAGTAGTCTTGGAAATCATTGCCTATATTATGTATTGAGAAAGATACTGTATGTTGCAAGATTCTATATTTTCAACATCTAAAACAGTAAAAGTTGTGTTGGACAAATAATGTAAAACTACCTTTTTATATAGAGCTTTTACAGAGCAAGAATGTGCTGCAGTATCAATATAAAAGCTAAGCAGAGGAGCTCAATCTTTTTCTCAGATTATCTGTGTCATATTGTCCTGTCATGACACAATAACAGGTATATGGCAAGTATGATTTACACTTGCTGTATACAAGTGCATGGTTCTTTTTAGATAAAGTTTTACAATACAAGTACCAAGAAAACATTAAATATTCCTGGAAAAGTGTTGTAGATTAAAATTTATTTCAATTTAGATATTAGGTTTGGTTTGGAATTGAAAATTAAACTTGTTCAGAAAGATCCCCGATTATTAGTTTGTGTACCTGTGTTGTAGAACTGTATGTTGAGCTTTTTTTCCCCTTATGTGCAACTATATTTTGGAAATTTGTCTGAACACAAGGTGAAAAGAGCTCTTTATGATATCTATGTAGTGCAGTGATATATGCAGTATCAGGTGATAACGTTTCATTCCCAATCCAGATACTTTTTGCTTCTTCTTAGAAGCTTGTGCAGAACAGCAGAAACTAAAGTTGGCTGACTGTTTCTAACCATATTCAGAAACTAGTAATTACTTCAGGGTCCACATTTCATTGAGGCTTTATACACAATTTTTTTCTCTGAGACTGTTTGTTACAGCCCTCGCACTGTTGTCGGTTTGTTATTTTTCAGCTCCCAAATCAATACTTTACCAAGTGCAGTCTTGCAGAGGGAAATAAAACAAGGGAGAAAGAAGATGGCAGATGCACACTTTTTAACCCACACATTATTTGTTTGGCAATAAAGTGAATGGGAAAAGAGAAACAACTTGTAGTGATTACCAGCCCTTGTCGAGCTAATGGCTAAATCTGCCCTGTTCATGGCCATTTTTATTAAACACAGATCATCAGGCCCCTCCAACCTGATGGAGAGGCCTGATGCAGCCTAAATGCAAAGTATGGCCACTTGAGGAAAACATGCATCTGGATTATAGCAGTGACACAAGGCTCTAAAGGCATAGAATGGCTATGTATCCTTTAAGTTGGTGTTAACACAAAAGTTCACATAGTGCGGTACAGGTACCAATATGATAAAATGTTTACTGTGCCAATTTTTTGTATCTTTATTTTATTTCATCTTTACAAAAGTATGTGTGTATAAATTGCTTTACTTTTATTACCACAAACTTCAATGTATTTTATGAAAATTTTAACATAGAACATGGAAGAGAAATAATATACAATTTTTTCAAGGAATCTAAACATTTTCTTTTTATCTCTTAAGCCAAGACTTGCAGCTGCAAATCTTTCAGGTACTATCTACGAGCTTTACACATCTAGAGATAAGTAGCTGTCCATTATACTTTACAATATAGTTTAATCTTTGTCAGATTGGATGGAAAGCATATTTGAACATGACTTTCAAATTTGCTACATATTCTCTTGGTTTTGTTCTGATTTTTGATTGGCCCATTTTCATATATGAATGTGCATTTTTCATTGTACCTCTGGTTCAGTGTATTACTATGTTGGAATATGAATTTCCACTCCAAGACTTTTGGTGCCTCTCATTTAATCCCTTGTTACTTCTTATTTATTGCATAGCATTTAGCTCTTTTTGATTTGATTGGGAGCAACCATATCAGTGAACATAACATTTTTTTGTAAATACAATGAATTTGGTGAGATGCTAATTTCCATATGTATTCCAATGAACCAAACAAACCATATAGAAAACATCAATAAAACATAAATAAATAATAAAACAACAAAATAAAAACAATAGTGGGATGGGTAAACCTATGTTAAAATAAAGTGATAATGTCTTTTAAAAGGTTTACAAAACAATGTTTTATGAACTAGTAACAGAAACTTCATGCTCCAAAAAGTGACTAAATACAGCAGTTTGTCTTTCCATCAATTTGGTTTTCCTTCCTTCTGAGCAAAACTATCCTCACAACAATGCAGCCACCAACATGTTTTAACATGGGGATAGCATATTAACACTGATGTGTTAGTGTCCTCCCAGTTGTAGCCTTTTACATGTTGGCCAGAAAGGAAAATCTTGGTCCCATCTGATTTGAGCCTCTATGTCCAGATATTTTGGATGTTCCTCACATGGGCTGTGGCAAACTTCTTTGAGCTTTCTTTCAATAATATACGTTTTTCTACCTCTCTGTCCTTCATATATGCCATATTTGTAAAAGCTGTCCTGTTGAAAGCATCCAAAAATTGAACTGCTGCCCATTCAGTTACCATGAACTATGACCCCTTGTTGGCCTGAAATTTAATTTGAGTCCCATGTTTAAGGTAAGTTGTCATGAGAGGTTTAATCAAATTCTGCTTTGAACCACTGCACAACTTTACTCTGATCTATCTGGCCCATTCCAGGATTCATAAGTATGATCATTCACTAATATTTTCTGACAAACCTCTAAGCTTTCCACATCAAGTGTAATCTGAATGCACTTTTTTTGTACTGGATTTTATTTATGGGGCTAAATACATGATCATTGTATATATTTTTTTGAGAATTATGTTTGTAAACATATGTAAATCATAGGTCACTTTCCACTTCAAAATTATGCACAGCTTTCAGATGGTCTGTCTTATAAAATATTAGGAATACTTATGGACACTTTATCCAGATTCATAAAAAAAACATTTGCATTGCAATTTTTGATTGTAACATCTCTAAAATAAAAAGGTTGAGTGGGTTCCTAATTATACAAGGCAGTGTGTGAACACAGTAAACTTGCAGTCAAAATTTATAGAAAATTATTTCTCAAAAAATTTGTGAAAAAAATTAACACAGGTATTTGAAATAAATAGGAGGACTAGCCAGAGAAGAAACAAATGTATACAGAGAGGTTGAAACATTGTAAGTAAAATTAAATATGATCATGTTATGGGACCCCTCACTGGCATCATCCGACTTTACATGAATTCCTAAAGGTCAATGAATAAGTATCTCAGCAACAGTGAACAAAAGAGATGGTGAGAGCCAGATTCAGTAGATTAACAGGGATTTATCCCTTTTTCAACCCAAGCAGAAGCATTTGTGAGCGGAAGTGTGGCAGCGGAACAAACCCCTCACTTGAGTCACTGAGACGTGCACCGTTTTGAAATTGAGTCCTTCAATCCCTGAGCTCTGAAGGAAGAAGAGAGGAAGGTTTTGAGTAGAATCAGTGAAGGGAGGAGTTGGGGAAGAAAGGAACCATGAAGAGCAACAGATTGGCAACAGATGACAGTTTAAGAGTTTGGGTTGTGTTTTACTTAATTTTCAATACATAATTGATAACGTGAGACGAAAAACAACATAGACAAAAGGTTTGGGGCACATGTTAGAAAGGTTGAGGAATGATTAACATTTTTGAAAAAAATAAAATAAAACTTAGACAATGGTATGATTCCTTCTCATTTCCATAGATATTGAGGCAAGCAAATGTTCTATGCAGAGATGCAGCCATTGAAGACAAATACACAGTCCTGGTGTATTGGGAGGGCTTAGGGTTTCCTTCACTAAGCTCGCTTCCTCTATTTCTGTATTGCATCAATAAATC